TGGATCAGGAATAACAAATTCTGGCACATTCAAGCACTGTAAAAGGAATACAGTCTTGGCCAGTTTAGGGCCAGCTTTTATTTTTTGCTTGATGGTGGCTTGTTTCACCTGAAACATCCTGTTACCTGCAGTTGTTGCTTCAAGAAACATTTGCTTTCAGTTTGAGTTTGGCCCAAATGTGAAAACTCATTGCTAAGGAGCAGATGAAGTGCTGAAAAATTACAAGAGTCACTTTGCTTAAGGTCGTAAGTTTCATGTTTTGTGGAAGGGAATGTCTGAAGGAAAATCCTTTTTTCTTGAAGAAATTTCTGGAAGAATTATAATATGCTACTTTCAAAACATTGCTTGTACTTTTTGTGTTCAAAATGATTTTGTGAAGTAACCCGAGAAGTATTGCATGTCTGCCCCCAAAAGTTTGTAAAGTTATTTCCTTCTATTGTAACTAGAGCCTGCCCCAAATGTTTCTAAGGCTATTTTTTTCTTCCCTTAACATCTGCAAGAGATCCCACCTGGGGTTCCCTGGGTAGCTGTCTTTAGGATGCTCTGACTTTCCTTGAACTCTCAGCATCATGAATCTGTTTCTAGCTCCAGGAGGTTAGCCCCAAGGGGTTTCTCTGCAAAGCTCAACTCCCAGGGCTACCAAAGATCCTGGGAGGAATCTGGGCATGGAATCAGTAGGGAAGAAAAAGCAAATCAATGACTCAGAATTGCGAAAGTGTCTGAGATCACTGTTGATAGGAATGGACACTCCACAGGCATTCCCAGACCTCACGGAGACCGATCCAAATCTGTCAGCATCAGATTCACCTTAGGGATGACTCAATTCTATTTCTGCCTAAATGACTGGTCTTGGAAGAGACACCAGGAAATGAGCCTCATAGGACAGTCTTGGGGGTCTTATCTTCCACCCACAATTCTTTCCTACTTGCAGTCTCAACTTAGCACTTGACCCCAGCTTATGTGCCCTTTCTGTGTTGTTATTTCATGAGTCATTTGAGCACTGGTAGGCCAACTGGAGACCTGTGCCTTCGCTGTTGAGAGTTTTATCAACCAGTATCGTAAAGTTCCTGTTTGGGAAAGGGCAGACAGGGAAAATCGCACTCCTCAGTAGAGCTGACTAAGAGAACTGGGACACTTAAAGAGTGACAAAGGACAGAAAAAAAGCTGCTGAAAGGGCTTCAACTTAACCATTCCCAAGGCAATGTGGCTGGAGAAAAATGGAGAAGTCAGGAGATGTTGGCATCACTTTCCTTCATAACTGCTGTCACATCTAACACTTGGGCTCTGAAGCCCTCCAAACTTTTGAGTTCCTGGAAGAGCTTATGCTGGACAGTCTTTCTAGAGAAAATCGGTGAGCTGTGTGCTGCTGCAGCCAAGCAGGGCTGCTACTGAATGATGTAAGCACTTGCTTTCCTTCAAGAGCAAAAGCAATGTATGTATCCTAGCAAATCAAGTCAAAGGTGGAAAATATTTCAGTTTGTATGCAATTGTTTGTCTACCACTGTCCCTATCAGACCTGGGAACATGTAGTTCTGGCTGGCCTTGAACTCATGAAGTTTAGGATAATCTTGAATTTCTGATGTTCTTGACTCCACCTCAGGCTAGGACTCCATGCCTGGTTCAAGAAGAAACCAAACCCAGGGCTTTGTACATGTTAGGTAGACATTCTATCAGGTAAATTATGCCCTTAATCACCAGATCCTTACCCCCTTGAAGACTTTTCCAGCTGCTGGCATCTGAAAGCTTAATGTACTGTGGCTCATAAGGACATACCAGGGTTCCCTAACTGCAGCACCCAGACCTTTGAGGAACACAATCCCCATCTGTGGTTGGGACTGGGTGATGTGGAGTTTCCAGTGCGGTGTGGTATCTTTAGCAACATTATTCTTGTCCATTTGTTACATACCAATAGTTTCTTCTAGTATTGACAACCAGAATGTCCCTAGACATTGACAAATCGGGCTGTGGTGATGAGCTGTTCTGTTACAGATGTTGATAACCATCCACCCAATGGCTGTTTTGTCACAGATGTTAATAATCAATCAATCTATGGCTGTTCTGTCACAGATGTTGATAATCAATCAACCCATGGCTGTTTTGTTACAGATGTTGATAACCAATCATTCCATGGCACAAGGTGCTTCTGGCCTTTGCCTTGAGGCAACATTTCTTAAGGAAATCTAGGAGAAAACAGTTTAAATTCCACAAAAGAATTAGTGGCAAGAGCTTAGAGGAATAGAAAAGTTTTAATAAGCCCCAGTGTTTAACCCTGACCCTTGATCTCAGGAAGCAAAATCTCCAGGAATTGATAAACTACTGTTGGGATCATTGGGGTGTTTTATTGGGATTTGATTTTAATCCATACCTGGAAATCGATTCAGGTTACCTTTTAGCTTGGCAAATCCATAAGTCTCTGACTATCTCAGTTTTACTAGATCTTAAGTAAATGTGCAGATGTGACCCTCTATTATCTTTCCCCAAATATTAGGAGATCAACAACAACAGGTAATGATCAACTCTGGGCTGTGCTAGGGGAAGAAATCTCAAGCTGGGGCTCACACGTTCTCTGTGCTCTTAAGATAGGCATTGCAGTGTAAGTTTGGGCCATTTCCAGCCCCTAATGGTTTACCATGACTTTGGAGAATATTAAAATCAGTGGGTAGAGGAAGATCTCAGCTTTCTTTTCTTCCAGGGTTGAAAGTAATACCATGATGGTCCCTACTTGGGTAGAACCCCCCACCCCCACCCCATTCCCCCTCAACCACAGTCTCTTGAGGGTCAGGAGAAATGATGGGCTATGCTATAACTTTGCTCAAGTGCTCAAAACCCTGACTAACTCATTTTTATAAGAACATTTCTGTTTAGTCTCAGAGAAAATGATAGAATAGAAGTCAAAAAGCACTACTTACATGGTGGCTTTTATAGAGAAAAATGTACTGGGTACCAGGGAATGGGATCTATCTAGTCAAGGATGTCTTCCTGACATCCTATCAGCAGGAAGGACCCACAGCCAGTGCTTTCAAATGGTATGTCACGATGAGAAAATGGCAATCTGCTCTCTCAGAAATCCAGAGAGGATCCCCTCTGTTGCTCTGAAAACTCGGATCACTAGAGTACATAGGCCACTGATTCCACCCCAGGCTGAGGAGTGGTTTAGCAGGCATTGTATTCATGTGCTCCCTCAGCTGGTGTCTCAGAAAACAACAGTCTGCTTGTCTTACTTGTCTTGTGTGCCTAGAGTTCCATGCCATGATAGATACACACATGGTGCTGAACCATGAACAGGGTAGCCAGGCTTGCACTCTTTCCACTTTCACTGAAGAGTTCTCTTAGTGTAATTTATTTCACAGGTGATCATCGAGCCATCGAAGGGCTTTTATTGGTTGTTCACAAAGAGTCTTTGTGATATTGGTTTAATGGAGAAGGGAGCAATGTCAAATACCATTTCTGGGATAGCAGAAGTCAGCTTTCATTTGTGGACAGCAGAAGTCAACCACAGTATAGCTGAAGACACAATTTGAGTCACATCTCTGATGATCTCATCTGTGAAATGCATCAGTAATGTCTCTTTTCCTTCCTGTGCTGACAGGCAAACATATACCCATGCACATTCAAACCAGTCACAAGATACTGTGATAAGAAAGAAAGATGATGGCCATGGAATTGCTTGGAAAATGGCCACATGTTGTGGACTCAAAACTATGATTTTAATTATGCACCATGGAAAGCATGCTCTAAGTTTCCTACACAATTAAGAACATTCTCAATACATTGTGAATGTATTAATAAATAGAAATGTATTTTTCCTTTTATTAATTAATTTTTTTCATTTATTTTACATCCCTACTACATCCCTCTTACCTCTCCTCCTGTTCCCCAGCCTTTGTCCACTCCTACTCAGTTTCTGCTCATGCTTTGTTGATACCAAATAGAAACATATTTTTTAAAGTATCTATCTTCTTTTGTTCACATTAGCTAAGTTGAATATTTATCATAGAAATTTGTTTATAGTCTTATTGGGGCTAGTATAAAATAGCTAATGGTGGGAGGGCGTTCCAGTACACACACCAGATCAACACGCATTTCCTTTGTACATTTCTGTGGGTACTTTGTTGAGAGAGTATTTTCCTCACCAATGTACTCTTAGAGCCTGACCTAGAATAAATGTTTGTTAAGTGAGAAAATGAAGATATGTTATATAACAACTTTCCATCAAATGATACTCTTCAAGTCTATCCACATTCTCAGTCACCAGAGGCTTCTCTTTCACACATGGTCCACATTTGGATGCTCACATTCAGAAACACAGCTGGGTGAAACTGAAGTCCCTTCATTTTTGGATGGCAGACACAAACCACAGATTGCAATAGAGGGCATGGAAACAATATTTCTGACATGCTTGGTGATTAAGACAGGGAACAATCCTTTAGATGTTTTAAAGGCTACATGTACTTCATAGACACCATTTTTCATTAAGCAAATCACACAAATTAAGAGTGTTAACACACATTATGATGAAGGATTAAGCAAAGAATTAAAAATAAAAATAATTGTTTTTATTGATGTGCAATAAAAATGAGCCATGAAAACATTTCCTTAAAATTATATGTGTTTAATGACAGACACAGTAAAGGTTGCCCGTCTCATTTGTGATGTTGGTTCTGTGACTGTTGGTATTTCCAAGTAATCTTCACCTTAAGAATAAGAGGGGGAGGTTGATGCTTTGCAACCAGAATTTATTGATTTTAATTGCTTTAAATTAAACTTGATCAAAGAGGGTAAGAAGTTGAGGGTCTTTGGGTACTCTGCAAGCTGCAGTGAGATGTTATGGGTTTGGATTCTGAAAAACCACACAGTGTTGGAACAAGATAAGTGATCTGAGCATGGGATCTGATATTTATTGGTACTAACTTTGTGCCAGACACTTTGTTAGCCATGTTACATGTCATCTCATTACTTTCTAGACTCCCCCACACAGCATTTCACGCTTCTTATTTCAGGTATAAACATTCTGAGGCTCTAAAATCGTGTGCATACTGGGATTGGTGGAGTCAGGATGGAAATTATGTCCTCCTCAGCTGTGGGAACAACACTTCCTTTGACTATGAAAGCGTAGGACAAAGAGAAGTTGAAGAAAATAGACATGAGGAGTAGGTATGGAAAATTGATAAGGTCTCAGTGACCCCTGATTAAAAGAGAAATGTAATAAAGATACTTTTGTGGTGAAAGATAAACAGATTGCATAGGTGCCTCAACAATGGAGGAAACTGTAACCTATGTAGTCTTATTTAGAAAAACATATCATGTGAATTCTGACTTGGTTCTCTTCACTCAACTCGTTTAATCTGATGGGACGACTATATCTTTTCAGGTGAAGTCAGAAAAGGAAATTAGCTTGGTGGACGAAAGATGGCAGCTTGTGTAAGCTGTGATCTTACTCCTCAACGTGGACAGAAGAGCAGCAGAAACAGTCACTGTGGAATCCTAAGGAATGTGGATCAGCCCCAGTCCAGACCTTCTCCAATTCTGCTTCTAGCAAGTGCCTCAGGAGATCTGTGCACACACTGGAGTTTGAGACCTGACCTAGGAGACAACTTTGTAGTTGCAGCATCATCCACTCACTCCCCTCTCCTCTTAAAATAACTCTAGAAAAGTATTTTCTGAATCTTGTCTTTTCATCCACAGCATATCTTGATCAAAACATTCTTAGAATACCATCTGATTTTTATAGCTTCTCATAGTCTGCCTTTCCCGGTAAAGTACAATGAAACTTCTTTATATTTCACATATACACATTCTACTTGGGACTTTTCTCTTGTTCCTAATTTTTTTCTGTTATATACCATAGGGTTAAAGTACAAAGAAGAGAATTATAGTCTTATCAGCAATAAAAATGTGTACTAATGAGTGCAATATTGAGTTGTTAAATCATTTGTTGGTGCCAGTCCCTCATAGCATTTACTTAGCATTAAAGTCCTGGAGTCAAGAAGCATATTTTTGTTCAAGTGAAATGCCGGAGTCCTTCAAGCACTAGGACTAGCTTAGGTTTATGGCAACAATGAATATGACAAATTTTCATAAAATATGATCAAGCCAAATTAACAGTACACTAAAAGTGTGGTTACATATTGTTTATTATTTATTAAAGCCACTGGAGATCAAAATAGCAAAGCAGACATACTAGTTAGCCATAGAAACCAGGAACACACCTTTAATTCCAGGACTCAGGATTAAGAGGTAGATGGATCTCTGAGTACAAGACCACCCTGGGATACCAGAGTGTGAATCAGGGCTCACAACTTTAATCCCAGGATTTGAGACGTACAAAAGGTAGAAAGGGTATCTCAGTCAGAAAATTAGTCATTAGCCATGTTGAGGAGAGCACAGCAGTCTGAGTGAATCTGAGGAGCAGTGAAGTCAGGAGCAGTTTGAGGATCACAACTTTATCTGAGCTGAGGTAGAGGTAAGAGCTAGTGGCTGGCCGCTTTGCTTTTCTGATCTTCAGCTTGAAACTTGAACCCTAATATCCTCTCTGAGTCTTTTATTTACCATGCTACATAAAAAGATCATATACTACAATTAAATAGTATTTATTCATGAGTTAAGAGTGACTCAACTTAAGAATCAAATCATGTCACATACTACTTTATCAGAGTAAAGACCAAACATCATATAATCTTCTCACTGGATGCAGAAAAGCACTTGGGAAAATTCAACATTATTTTGTGATAACAACACTCACATCAGGTATAAGAGGACTGTGCTTTCACATAATGAAGGGAATGCAAAACAAGCTCCAACTAACAATTAGTAATAAGCTGAAAGCATTTTATTCAAGACTGGGGACAAAATCAATGATGCTACTATTGTCACTTTTGTTAAACACAGTGTTGGAACTCTTAGCTACAGAAATTATGTAAGAAATATAAATATAAATATAAAAGCACCTCAAATCAGAAAGGAAGTCATCTATTTTCAGGTGATGTGATCTAATGTATAATTCAATCTATGAGATTACAACAACTCCAGCGACTGTATGAACATAAATGTACACATATGTGTACATATATGATTACACATGCACATACAGATGGGCACACACATGCACAATGAGTACACATTATCACACATACTCATGTGTATACATGATTACAAACACATACAAACCTCTACACGCATGAACACTCACAGCAACACACCCAGAACCAATAAATACAGAAAAAATTCAGGAAATAAAATCAGCACGCAGAAACCAGTTGTGCTTCTTTATGCTAGCAATGAGATCTCTAAAATAGTAATAAAAATCTTATTTATAATAGCATTAAAAAGAATAAAATACATAGGAATAAATTTAATAATGGTCAAAGATTTGTACATTGAAAAACATAAAACGAGCCGAGTAGTGGTGGTGCACACCTTTCATCCTAGAACTCAGGAGGCAGAGGCAGGTGATCTCTGAGTTCTAGGCCAGCCTGAACTACAGAGTGAGCTCTGGGATAGCCAAAGCTACACAGAGAAATCCCATCTTGAAAAACAATAAACAAAAAACAGAAAAGGAAAGAAAAATATAAAACAACAATGAAAGCAATTGAAGAAGATACAAATAAATGGGTTTGAAAACACAAGATTGTTAAAATGCCCATACTATTTAATAGGTCTCTATAGGTTCAGTATAATCCTATTGAATTTCCCTAAAGCCCCTGTAAAGCAAGTTTGAACAAGAAGAACAAGAGGTATTGAAACTACTTGACTTCAAAATATAATTTAAATATACAATAAATACAAGAACATGGTACAGGCATGGAAAGAGAGGTGCAGAGCAATGAAACAGAATGCAGAGCCCAGTAGTGATTCCCTGTCCCATGCTGTCAAAGGGGCCAAGACTGCGCATGAGGAAAGGACACCATTTCAATAAATTGTGCTTGGAAAACTGGACATCCACCCATATTCAGAACAAAAAAAACACTTGTCTCACATAAAATACAAAAAGCCAAATTAAATGGATTAAGGACTTGATGTAAGACCCAGAAGAGTAGTACGATTAGAAGGAAAAATACAGGTTAAAACAAAACAAAAAACTGATGGTTGTCTAGGCAATGATTGTTCTTTTAGTTGATTTTTTGTGTGTTTACACATATGATCATTGTACTTCACTCATATTTGCACCCCATATGATCCTCCCATTGGCCTCTCTCCTCCTGATGATTTCCCTCTGTCAGCTGGGTGATGATTTTTATATAAATCAGAAAGCACGGACAATACCACCACAAAAAGAAAAACGGGATTCCAAAGAATGAAAAGATTCTGAAAAGGAGGGTCTACTAAGAGTGATAGACAACCTAGGGAATGAGAGGACAATATTCATAAGCCATATGTTTAATAAATTAATACTTGTAACATATGAAGACTTCAAAACAACTCAATAAGAAGAAAGTAAAAATCAAAGAAAACCAAACCAAATATGAGACAAAACAAACAACCCCAAATCTAAAATATAGGCAAAGACTTTATGTAATCATTTCTCCGACAAGGCAAGCAAATGTCCAAAATGTGTATAAATGCCCAACTTCACAAATCATCAGAAAAATTCAGGTAAATATGACAAGGAAATGTCACCCTCCCTACCACTTCTAAGGTGACCAGAGAGGCAAGGTCGGCGTTGGAGATTGGATGGACAAAGAGGAACCCTGTCCAGTGTTGATAACAATGTAAGTAGATTATGGAAAACAGTGTGGCAGCTCTTCAAATATTCAGAACAGAATTACTACGTGATATCAGTTCTCTTTCTGGATATATAAAGACCCAGGATCCGGGAGGAAACCAGTATTCTGAAGCAATATCCAAGATCACATGCTCACCACAGCAGTATTCACAGTAGAGAAGAAGATCTGGAAGAAACCAAAGTGCCTATTGATGGGCAAATACATAAAGAAAATGTGCTCTATTTACAAATGTGTGGATGTTGAGTTCCAGTGGTGGTTCTGTAAGATTACATTGCCTAGCGGCTTTATCACGGTCTTAATGTGCATACAACCCATGGTGTTAACAAACTGATGAAATCACTGAATGACACAGGTCTCAGAATATATACCCTGTCATTATGGGAGGCATGATTTTACACATAACAGTGGAATACACATATGCCTGAATTACAGTGGTTCATCTCATGCCTTTTTGACTTTATGAATTTACGTAAACAACATGCCCTCTCTATTAATCATTTTTTAAACCTTGAAGTTTGGTCCTGGAGGCATGTTACAGCACACTCCCTTAGTGTCTGCAGCTCTCAGGCAGCAACTCAAGCACATGAATAAAGTGTTCATATGCCATAGGGCTCTTCATTGCTAAGCTGTGGTGTTCTGTGGTCTAGGTATATTAGCTGAATGTTTGGGGTATGATACTTAGAATTTATGATGGGTTTATGAGGATGTAATCCCATGTTAAACTGAGAAGCAGATTTATTATACACATTGTGTAAAAAGACGGGAAGATGGCCATTAGCAGCCACCTAGGTTGGCCTGGAGGCCTGTATGCTTAGGGAAATAAACCAGGACAAGTACTGCACTATCTGACTAATACATGCAATTTGAAAAAGTCAAACTGATAAAAGGAGAGTGGATAATGGTGGTTACCAAGGAGATGAGGATGATGGGGAAATGTTGGTCAAAGAAGACAACATTTCAGATAAGCATGATGAAAAAGTTCTAGAGATCTAAAATACAGTGTGGTAGCTGGGGTCAATAACACCCTCTGTGCACTTGAAACCTGCAAAGGGAGTAATTCTTAAGTGTTCTGACCACACAATGGAAGTCATAATTATGGCAGGTAATGATTATGTCAATAACTTGACCATGGCAATCATGTCAGAATTAACAGGTATATTGGAAGATCACATTGTGTACTTTAAACACATACAAGTGTCAAAATAGAATTCCAAACATATTTATAGCATTATTCTTAATATTATTTAGGAAGAAAATTTTGAGCTATGTTTCATATAATAAAATTGTCAGTAAGGCAACAAAGATTAATTTTTCTGTAGGGATGTAAACAAGACATATTGATGTCATTATTTGCTCTAAATATTTATTTTAGAAATATTAGTATAGTTCTTTCCGTGTGTGTGTGTGTGTGTGTGTGTGTGTGTGTGTGTGTAGGGGGAGGATATATGTATGTGTGCACTATGCATGCACATGTGGAGAACAAAGATTGATGTCCAGTAAAACATAAAAGACTTCCAACTAAAAAAATATCCTGGTCCAGATGGATTCATAGCTGAGTTATTCTAGACTTTCAAAGAAGATCTACAACCAATACTTCTTATATTGTTTTTTAAAGAAAGAAACATAAGAAGTGGTTCCAAACTCGCTTTATGAAGCCAGTGTAACTCTAATACCAAAACCAGGTAAAGACACAACAAACTACAAAAACTACAAGCCAATATCCCCGATAAACACAGATGAAAGAAGTTCTCAATAAAATGCTTGAAAAAAGAACATAGGCGCACATCAGAAAGATCATCCATCATGATCAAGGTGGTTTTGTCCCAGACATGTAAGCAGGGCTAAACAGATGTAAGTTGATAAATGTAATTAATCATTTAGAGTTAGAGACAAAAATCACAATTAGCACCTCAATAGATGCCAGAAAGGCCTTTGACAAAAGCCAATATGTCTTCATGATAGAAGTTCTAGAGAGAATAGGACAGAAGGATGATTCCTCCTTGTACTAAAGGATTTACATGATAAATCCATAGCCAGAATCAACCTAAATATAGAAAACCCTTGGAAATTAAATTTTTAAGCTTAAATTAAAATGTAAAGTTTAAAATAAGAAACAAGAAAGGTTGTGTACCACCCCCACTCCTTTCCCCACTCCTTTTCATATAGTGCTTGAAGCAGTAGCTGGAGTGATA